TGTTAATTGTTAAATTAATGTATTATTTATACACACAACCCGTCCTTTGTACGGGTACACAGCTAGTTTTTAACTATTCTAGTTTTTGCATTAATCATAACCTAATATACATGGACAACAAAGCCAGCCCTTATCATTCATATATTTATCAAAGCTTCCCATAAACTCACTTAAATTTTCTGCTTCCACCATATCCAAAGACAAACTACCCTGTTAAGAAAAATAAAACTATCTTAGCTAAAGATGGCTCCTACTCTGCCTAAATTTGTATTTCTGCCCCATAGTTCTACCATTTTTACCATTAAGTATAAAAAAAAAACTGATCCATCAACACTATCAATTTTATACACTTCAATCAGATCTTCTCTAATTCTTCTTTTTTCAAGAAAAAATATTTTTGGACATCATATCCTCTCCTCATATGTCAACCTTTCCATCCCAGGCACCATTCTAGTAACCCTCCTCTAAACCCTTTCCAACAATTCAATGTCCTTCGTAAGGTATAGAGCCCAAGACTGAACACAATACTCCAAATGTGGCCTAACCAGTAACCTATACAATGAAATTATAACTTCTTTAGACTTGTATTCAATATTTCTGTAGATATGACCTAAAATCCTATTTTCCCTACCATAAGCAACAGCACACTGCTTGGATGGCTTAAGAGACTGATCAACTAATACACCAAGATCCCTTTATTTCATAAACTGTTAAGGTTATTCCCATCCAAATTATTCTTATAATTCAAATTATTTTGCATGTATTGTAATTAAAACCCATCCGCCATTTATTTGCCCAACTCACTAAATGATCTAAATCCTTTTGTAAAGCAGCAGCATCCTCACAGCCAGCAACACCCAATACTTAATATCATCTGCACATTTAAGTAACTTATTGACCATTCCTTCGTCTATGTCATTGATGTAAATCAAAAAGAGCAAAGGTCCCAAGACTGAGCCCTGAGGTACCCCACTTTTGACATTAATCCAGTTTAACTGAACTTCATATATAACAATCCTCTTTCTTCCATCGAGCCACTCTTCTGTCCAATTAGCTAACTTATCCCCCACACATACTGAGAGAGTTTTTTTTAAAAGCTGTTTATGTGACACCTTGTTAAATGCTTTCTGAAAATCCAGATACACCAAATATAAACCCCCACCTTCATCTACGTAACCAGTAACCTTTTCAAATAAAGTCAAAATATTTGTAAGACAAGACTTTTCCTTAGTGATACCATGTTGGCTATCCAGTAAAATTCTATACTTTTTAAATGGCTTTGCAAAGCATCTTTTACCAGACTTTCAAAAACTTCCTCATAACTTATGTAAGACTAATAATTACTGGGACAATTTTTATTACCTCCCTTGTTTGTGGTTGTAAATGTGCTAAATTATGTGTAGTTTACTAAGAATTGCTGGTTTCATAATGTGTTGTGTTATATAAATTAATGAAGAGGATGTATTTTTCTGTAGTCAGGGTAGTGTTTAAGGAAGGCAGATTGTTAAACCCACTTGAATGTTGAAGAAATTTAATATACCTGTGTTGAGTGTTGAAAAAGTTATGCAATTTTAAGAGACAATCAAGGCTGTTGTACTGTACCCGGAGCATGTCATCAATAAAGCAATACCACCATCCATCAACTTCCTGTCCTGTTTGTTCTAGCCATTTGTAGTTTGCTGTTTTCTAGAAACATTGCATAAAAAAAGGACTGCATGGGCCACAGTTTTTCTTACATCAGGAAATTATGTGTATATGTATTAAAATGGACATATCTATTTACTTAACATAGTGATCTGACATGTGCAATAGAATATAAAAAAAACATTGCACTTAAGACTGTCATTTCTCACCAAAATATTAGTATTTTCTTTGATTGTTATTTTAAGTAAGTAAAGAACCTTGTATATGATTCTATGTTTGTTTTGTATCAATGAATGCAGTGTCTTTGTAATACCAGGTTGCTTGGTATTACATACATACATATAATAAAGATACATACACATAAATCTGCATATAACCCAGTATGTATATGTGAATTATACATTGAAGAAAATGAGAATGAAAAAGGAAAGACTTTTTAGTTGTTAGTTTCAACTTTTTCCAAAAAAAAAGAATACATGATAAAAGTGAATCTCTGATGGTTTGAAGTACAAAATATTAAGTATCACTAGTATGTGGACACACCATAAGTAAATTCATTATTAAGTTTAGAAGAAAAAGATATTTTTGTATTTCCAGTTTTCTCATAATTGTTTTATCTTTTGTGTATTAGTTTTAAGTCATCTAATTATATAGTTTCTCTTGTTTGTGTTTTATGATAAGCCTATTTTGAACTTTGTGTAATGTCTCCACACGGGTATATGTAATCTGATACTAAAATGTTTTTGCTTTTTATCTTTGAATTTATCACTCGGGTATTATAAGTTCAGTAAAAAGTAAAACTGCTGTTAACATCTTCAAATAAGAAAATGTGTTTTGTACTGATACTGAAATTTGAAGTTATCCTTAATTCTTTAATATAATTCTGATGTTTACATTTCAGAACGTTTTGTTAGGAGAAGGAGCTGGTTTTAAGATTGCCATGGGTGCTTTTGATAAGACTAGACCTCCTGTAAGTACTAAAATTCTAAATATGTATGTGATGGGAAAAAAAGAAAGAATGGGTATTTTATGTTATATACAATATAATGGAAATTTTTGTTTGTAATTTAGTGTTTCGTTTCACATAGCAGTCCTCTGTATTTAAATATGTGCATGAAAACTTGATAGAAAGAAATTTTTCTTTTTTTGGCAGAACTATAAAATTATTTTAGTGGAAAATATTTTCCTAAGTTTTAACAGTAGAGTAGTAGCTTTTGTATAACACAATTTAATTCTAATTTTAAAGTGTAAAGTAAATGTGTTGAGTCTTGTAGTGGAATTACTAACTATATTTTCATAATTTAACATAAAATATAATGATTTTATCGTAATTTCAAAGCAGATTTTTAACCAAATGTGCATGGAGTTGGTCTGATCCTGTAATTGAGAAGGAATGTTAACAATAATTCTGAATTTAGTAAGTGTATCTACACAAAATATGGCAACCTTTTATTGAAATGTACAAGTCTGTTGTACTCAAAGAATTGGATGTTACAAATGTATTTGTAGTAAGATATGTCTGTGAATTGGTGATATCAGTCTGACTCAGATTTTGACAAGTTGGAGTGCAAGATTATGTGCATATTTTTTTTCCATCATACAGTTTACGTAACCTCTGGAACCTCTGAAATTCATCTTTATCTTCTATTTTTTTCCAGTATCCCTGTATATAGTACTTGGTAATTAATATCCTCTACCATAAACTGTTGCTAAATCATTAGTGTAGCGTAAAGTAAATAGTTTATAACTGACATCAAATGGTAGCATGTTGGATAGTAAAGGTTGTGGCATGCAAACTCTGACCCCCACCTATGCACATAAGGTAAATACGTTGTTGCTTAGAGCTAAACTGTGTAACATAAATTGAAAGTTGTTACTGTAGTCTTAAAATTACTTTGTATTGGTGTATTAATTATAACCCCACTTTTTAGGTCAGGTGTAGATGTATTGCAATCTTAAAATAACCCTTAATGTTAGCTTTCATGACAAACTAACTCAAACTTAATTACTTTGTTGTAAATAAAAATCGTATATTTTTATACTGTCATGTGGGCATTATTAGGAAATGAGGAATATGCAACATTTATTTTAATGCAAACATTTCCTTCAACAGGTGGCAGCAGGTGCAACAGGTCTTGCTCAGAGAGCCCTTGATGAGGCTACTAAATACTCTCTGGAGCGTAAGACATTTGGTAAATTCATATCTGAGGTAGGTTGAATGAAATTATTTTATGTTTAACTATTTCCAGTCAGGTATCTTGTGCTATATAAGGTCACTTGACAGTATTTAAAAAATCTGTATGATCTCGCCCTTCAGATCCTCTACAAAACAAAAGCATTAAATGAAGTATTCAGACTCAGAATTTTTGTTTAGACATAAATGTTATTACATTTTTTTATACAAAATTTAACTCTCTCACTATGGGCTCAGTCTCAGAGACTGAAAACCTAGTAACCATTTTGTTCTTGTCATAGTTTTCATGCTATAACTTTTAATACTGTAAGCATATCTTCACAAAATTTTGCAAATTAACAGTAAACATTGCAAGGCTTTCGTATGCAAAATATCAGATTTTTTTTTAAGTAATGTTTTTCTTGTACATTTTTTCTTTTCAAATCTTGACTATCCAACATGCAAAGTAATTTTGATTTTAAGATTAAAAATACCTTTATGCATCAGAAAATGTTCAAATTTCACATGCAAAATCTTTATGACCTCCATGTAATTATCAAATGTTTTTTTTTTAGAAACAACTATATTTTATCTGTGATTTTCACTATTGTATCTCTGTACAGGTTTGGTTGATTTGATCGACCCCGTGACCACCATAAAAATTATGAAATACGTATAAATTATGATTTTTTTTTTTCATTCTAGAATGACTACAGATTATAACACAAAAACACAAATGCTTAGTCAAAATCACTTAAATCTCATAACATTATACATTTATATATATTTACTATTTTTATTTTATGGACCTTTCAGCCTTGCCAAACTAACATTACAGAAGTTGCAATGATGAGGTGCACGTGCAATTATGTTACGGCATCCAAAAACATAAGACTGGCCTTTACAAAATGACCTATCTTGGCTGTGTTCTGGTGAACCAGTTTTTTGTAAAATAAGTCGCATTTTTATTATAATACATTATATATGCACAAACATTATTACTATTTAGAAATAAGTTCTTAAATTTCAGTTATTTTTTATAAAACATAGAACAGTAAATAAAGAAGTATAGAAAACAATTATCTCTTCTAGTTACAACCTTTGCTACTTGCCATAAGTTGCTAAGCCTTATCAAATTTCACATGTGGAGGATGTAAAATAAAATAATTTTTTTAGGTTTTATATATAATGCATTTTGAAATAAAAAATCATAAATTACTATATCAATACCACTAAAATTTATCATGCTTAGTAATTAAGCTGTATTTGGGTCAAAAAATATAATTTTTGAACTCCATAATGTCTTACATTATATCTTTGATTCTACTATGAAAAGAAAGGGGTTCCCATGTAAAAACTTCGCAGAGGCAGAAAAAAATACGTGGAGAAAATTCTGAGCTTTCGATTGGTTATACATACATCTTTGGGCGAAGTTGGGGTGTACGTAAGCAAGTATTTCTAAAAATAGAAGAGGTGGGTGTGGCTATAATTGGTGATTCCCTAAATATAATAATATCTCAGAAAATAGAAAAAAATAGGAGGATCTTATATTCCAGCATGTCAATATCATTAATTTGAATTTCTAAATTGCAACAAACTCCAGACTTTGAATTTGGACATCACAAACATCTAATATGAACCAAAGATGCATTTGAATTATCACATGACACACAAAAATCAATATTTAGGATTTTCTTTTTTTAATATTTACTTTTATGTA